TGGACAGGTATGTACGAAGCAGTGTCTGGGAGACAGGACCCATGCCATCGGGAACGATGAATATGAAGTTCTTCGGTTCGATTGCTGCGAGTGTGGCTTGTCCCAAAGAGAGGGCAGTCAAGATTGTGGAGGTACGCATGGTGGGCGACAGGCAGATGATGGCGCCGCAACAGGGCGATGGAAAAAGATGGTGAGGATGAGTTCAAAACTTGACCTACAGTACAGCAGTCGAAGCTGATGCAGTTTATATACTGCTAGATTAACGGATCATACATCCCACGACCCTGTGGGTACTCACATTAGGCCCTGAGTGTCTGCACATGCCTGTTCGCCAAATCTTGGACTCCGATGACTTGGGTCCGAACAGATCCCAATTGAACGATAGCTAAAGATTGACCAAGTTCTACTATATCTAGCAGAGTGTCCATGTGTTTTCGACTGCTCTTCGCCGAGTTCTTGTCAAGTCCCAACCCATCTTACGACACTGCGATACCTTCAACACACACTTTGCAAATGTTGCGATAGATACCACCGCCCATGTTGAGAAATTTGATGTCAAGAATGCTATTTTGAACCTCAACCACTTACAGCAATTTCCGCAATCACGTTCTGCACCTCCATGTACTGATATGCGCAGGCCCAGCCTTGGTATGTCTCTTCAAATGTGCGACGCTCTTTTGCCAAGGTTCTTGGGGACTTGGTGGGCGGCATGGCGGCCGGCGAACACCACAAGCGTGCTTCCTTCCGTATCCCACGTGTTGCTGTTAAGGGCGAGGGACATCGCGTTCCGGGACAGACGGATGATTCCTTCCCCCCTCAAAGAATTTGCCTTCATACAATATCTTCTTGGTGTGTCGAACCGCGTCTTGTACTCCATTCGCCATGCTTCCTGCTCATGGCTGATGAGGTTGTTTGCCCGTGCCGATTCAACCTATTCTTTATCCGATCCACGAGCGACCGGAAACAGCGCCATACGAACTAGCCCGCATACCTCCGCTCCTAATGTCGTATCCGTTCAAAAGTCCGCTTCGGGAGTGGCGCCAGAAAAACTCCGTTCATAGTAGTTCCAGCAATGCGCATCGAGACAGCAGTACCAGCACACGTATGGAGATTCAGAGATTCAGAGGGCAAATCCCCTATGCAGATGAGGAAGAGTGGTCTTGCAGTCGTTTATGAGTCCGGTAGTCTTCACCCCGAATTGCCATCAAAGCAGACCGACGCCGGTGGTTCGTGCGTCATTAGCGCCATACCCCGCAAACTATTTCCCACATAGGACCTCGGGAGGGGCGTCATCGACTTCTACTTTCTCATGTGCCTGATAATCCACGCTTTTCATGCTCCACGACTCAAGCAGATATGGAGAATAGTCCGGGGATCGTCAAGGTTTAGCCATTTGACACGACTAGGGTCCCCGGAAGTCGCTGAAAGAAGGTTTTGTCCGTCAACGCGTATTCGTGGAGTTTCTCGTACGCAAGACTAGGATACCAAGAGTCTAGGAGATGAGTTTATGAAGTATCGCTTCCGGTGGGTGGTTATGGCTCCAAAGTATGAGTTAAGTATAGCTCCCGGCTTACAGTCGCAGTATATGTTCAAGGTATGTATTCCCATAGAATCCGTAGGTCATCTGTATCTCTTTCGTTACTTCCTCTTATTTCATCATGCGGTCCTACCACCTCCCACTCTATGCGTGGGGTCTGTGGTCGACAGTCTCTGCCCAAGCCACCTCCAAAGCGCAGGCCGAATCAGCACTAGAAAGCCTCGCGATCACGAACATTGACGATGTTCGTGGGAATCTTCATCTACCAAGCGTCTCCGAGAACCAGAACGTCACGTGGATGAGCAACAAACCTTCCGTAATATCAGCAGACGGCGTGGTTCAGCGACAAAGTGCCGACACTGTAGTCGATCTCACAGCGATTATCGACAGCGATGGAACGACCTCGAATCGCACCTTCAGTGCCAACGTACGCCAAGCGGTCAAACTCGATGCCTTTGAAGGTTACGCCTTTGCGTATTTTACGGGCAATTCGTTGGCGGGCGAGAAGATCTATCTCGCAGCCAGCGAAGGCAATAACGCTTTAGCTTGGAGAGAACTCAATAACGGCGAGCCTGTCCTCGCATCCACTGAAGGCACGAAGGGTTTACGTGACCCCTTCGTCATACGCTCTCCAGAGGGCGATAGATTCTTCCTGCTCGCTACCGACTTGTCAATTGGATCTGGTACTTCCTGGGGAGATGCAGTTCGCAAAGGGAGCTTGTATCTGGAGATCTGGGAGTCAAGCGATCTCAAGACATGGTCTCAGCAACGGCACGTTAAGGTCTCCCCTCCCACTGCTGGAAACACATGGGCGCCCGAGGCGTATTACGATACGGATCTTGGATCGTATGTAGTCTTTTGGGCGTCCTCTCTCTACGCTGAGAGCGACACGGACCGCACAGGAGCGACATACCACCGCATGCTCTACGTGACTACTCGAGACTTCGTCACGTTCAGCGAGCCCGAGATCTGGCAAGACGCGGGCATGTCACGAATCGATACTACTGTCATACAAGAAGCGGATACATTCCACCGTTTCACAAAAGACGAAGGAGGCACAGGCACAAACTGCTCCGACATTATCCAAGAGCGTTCTGACTCGCTCCTTGCTCCTGTACAGTCCTGGACTCAAGTTGCCACATGCATTGGTCGCAACGCCGGCACTAGCAGCGTCGAGGGACCGACAGTGTTCAAATCCAATCCAGGCGATGTCAATGGCGAGAAGTACTACCTCTTTGTGGATGAGTACGGTGGACGTGGATACATTCCGCTAGAGACGGCAGACATCTCTAACCCTGACTGGAAGGTTTCCAGTTCATACAAATTGCCGACTAGCCCACGTCACGGCACCGTGGTTCCAGTAACGGCAAAAGAACTTGCTGGTTTGACTGCGGAGTCAAAGCGTTCCGTTCTTGCTCAGACAGCAGGCAGCCCTGTCCTTCCCGGTTTATACGCAGACCCCAACATCGCGGTATTTGGTGATAACTACTACATCTACGCGACAACGGATGGCTTCCCTGGCTGGGGCGGTAATGTCTTCTACGTCTGGAAGTCACCTGACCTAGTCTCATGGACCCGATCAGCCGAACCTTTCTTGACCCTCAATGGTACCAGCGGTAACGTACCTTGGGCCAACGGAAATGCCTGGGCCCCGACAATCATCGAGAAGGACAGTAAGTATTACTTCTACTTCAGCGGAAACAACCCGGAGTACGACCGCAAGACTATCGGCGTGGCTGTTGCAGACGCGCCTGAAGGACCGTTTACAGCACAGGCGGAAGCTATGATCCTTAACGAAGGCAATGTTACCACTGGCCAAGCCATTGATCCAGACGTGTTCGAAGACCCGACTACTGGCAAATACTACATCTTCTGGGGCAACGGAGGCTCAGACATCACACCCGCGCTTTACGCTGAGCTCAGCGATGACATGCTCTCGCTGAAGGCTGACACAACGCGTTCCATTGGCGGTCTTCCTGACTTCCGCGAGGGCATCTTCATGAACTACCGAAAGGGCCTCTTTCACCTCACATACTCTATCGATGACACTGGTTCAGAGAACTACCGTGTGGGGTACGCGACATCTACGAGCGTTCATGGCCCGTGGACATACCACGGTCTTATACTGCAGAAGGATTCCTCAAAGGGCATCCTCGCTACTGGGCACAGTTCCATCATCAACGTCCCGAACACCGACGATTGGTATATCTGCTACCACCGATTTGCCATCCCGAACGGAAACGGAACGAACAGAGAAGTCACCATCGATAGACTGTATTTTGATGATCAAGGCTTAATGAAGCCCGTTGTGCCTACTTTAGAAAGTGTACCGGCGCAGCCGATCTCTGCATAGATATGGAGTGCTTAGAATAAACTGATATAACAATAAATTGAATCATTATACATGAAGCCTTCAATAACGACAGTGTGACTCGCGAACAATAGCAAGCCCTGACAATTTCACTCCGATTCGCCATGCCAATGGTACTCAAACCTGTTGCATCATCTCACTTCTCCATTGCCCATACTCAGAACCCCAGGCCCCTCCTCCTACCGAAGCCCCTAGACAGACTCCTACTACTCTCCAAGCCCAAGCCCAAGCCAACTCCACCCAAGATCTTCATTCCCTTCTTGCGACCGATGAGCAACTCCTCCAGTATCAAGCTCACTTCTTCCATCTGCTCTTTGAACTCCTCCATTGCCTTTCCCAGGCACACACCTTCCTCCCACATATCGCTGAGGTGGGCTTCGCTCAGGTCATCGGGCTTGATCGTTTCAAGCGGCTTGACGACGGCGGTGAGATGAGTGAGGTTGGCGGAGACGATAGCTGCGCGGCGGTTCAGAGCGCTGACGCGAGAGGGGAGGTCGATTGGAGTGTGGATGGCAGTGGGTATAGAGAGGTCTTCGTAGGAGGGGACGGGGGTGAGTTCGGATTGATAGAGGTAGCCATGGTCCCAGGAGTAATTCTGTTGGCGGCGTCGGAGGTGGCGCGGGGTAGAGTGTGGTGAACCAAACATTTTGTAATGATGGTTGCTCCGAACCTTTGCGATAGAAGAACGTATAGGATAGGGTTGAAATGTGGAGAGAAGGAACGGATGATCAAGCTAGAAATCGATATCCCGTGCGACAGGAGGTATTTGATATACTCGCTCCCTGTCGCTATCATGAGAGAGATGGGGCCAAATCGATGGTATCGGGACGCTGCATAGCCGATGTTTGGGCTTGCTCGACCGCAATGATTGCTATACGTTGGCTCAGCAATGCCATATCTATGATTTCTGGAGTACTTACCCGGGCTAGATGACGCGCTGAGGAAGTTTGGATACGACGATCAAGCTTAGAGGTAGGTATCGCAGCAATCACGGATCTACGGCGAATTGCTAGAAACAATGGAGTTCAGCTGCTTACACGCGCCTACCCATGAAAACCGATCGAGCAAACCTCCGCATCTGTTCATTGCATGCTACCTGGCTGAAGCGGCTTCCTGCCGCGGGTACACCAACTTGATCATCACACAAGCAACATTGAGCTTCTCGAGCCAAACCTTGAACTGCTCTTCCACCTCAGCACTTTCATCAAGGAGCCCATCTATTGCATCTGCCATCTCCTGGCCTCTTGTGTCGCCGATCGTGCTGTTGGCTATTTCGTTGAGCGTGTTGATCTTTGTCCGTATTGAGTTCAAGGTATCGCCTAAGGCTAGAGAAGGCTCGAAAATGGACGGGAAATTTTCGCGAATGGCGAGCCGGATGGCTTCATGGGGTACTTTAGGAGTAGATGTGGCGTTGGAGGTCATGGCGACAATAACGAGCTTAGCTTGGAATCTTTGTGCTTTGTCCCGACAGATGCAGGTGGGCTGGGAAGTCGTGATATATGTACTATTGCCATGGAATCCAGTGCCAGCCAACCCCGTGAAGTCAGGCGAAGAGGTCATGGGTAGATTGTCATCGTGTTCGAGTGGCTCCGGCCCCGTAGGCTCACGCATTGGTATCGACGTAGATATCGCTGATAATCATATTATTCCGACATGCGTGATGTCTGTGTACATTGACGTCTCTTTCATGACAGCTTCCTTCGTCTTCGTTGCACTTCTCTCATTCTGCTTGACTCTACGCAGCCCTCGGTCTCTCCCACGCCTGGCCGTCGCTCATCTCAATGCCACCCGCCATGCTCGTTTGTCCCAGCTTCTCCGCATTCCACCCCTCCTCAGGCGGTATCGGGCTTCTGATCTCCTTCTCCCGACCCAGGCCCTCCACACCAGGCGGCCCGTCGCCCCAAATCAAGTATTGCGCTGCAAGTCCCAAGTCGCAGCATGCCTGGAAGATACCACAAGCCTTGAAAGCCCAAGGTACCTCACCGCTGCTACTGGCAAAGAAAAACCACATCTTGAACGTATCACCGATGACCCAGTTTACGATGACACTAGGCCTGAATCCTTTGCACCCGCGTCTCTGGTAGTTAGCCAGGAGCTGGGGAATGGGAAGCGTAGCCTCGATTGTCAACGCAACCATGCCCAGCAGATCGGTGTACGGCACAAACACGCTCGTGGATGACATGAGCAGATGCAGCACCAACAGCACCCCAGTAAAGTATGTGATGAATGTCCAATACGGCCTTGGCGCCCTCCACTGCCAGAAATCGTACGGTCGGTTCGAAACATCCTTGTGTTGGAAAGGGAGATGCGAGGGCGGCGGTCGGTTCGTGAGCGCGACGTGGAGGAGGAGCAGGTGGACGCAGATCATGAGCAGGGCTTGGACGAGCAGCGAGGTGCTGAAGTGGGCACCGAACCAGTAGTAGACCTTCAGGATGCTGGCGACGAGCATGATGAGCGGAATGTCGAGGGAGAAGCCGGCGGAGCTGCGGGCTCGGTGCATGCTGTAGATCTGGTCGCCATAGCTGGTGATCGGACTCGTCGCGATACTGGGTGCTGTCTGTTAGAGACGGAGAGGCTAAGGAGGTGTGGAGTCGTACAAGACGGGTGCAATGTTCTTCACAATGGCGCTGATGAAGAACATGTTGGTGGTCGTGTGCTTGGCCCGGCGGTTCGTCTCGGAACGTCGGAAGGCTGCCCTGAGACTCCTTTTGCAACGCTGGAATGTCCGACGACTGTGGAAGGAACGCACACGCAACCACGGAACCGTTTTGGCGCACTACTTCGGGGTGTGAGGCTCGAACGAAACACCACCCGCGGACAAAAAGGGAGGAGGCGCAATCTCCCGCAGATCAGATCTGGCTTGCATTAGTGGCCGCTGTAGGGCTGATAAGCAGCTTAGCGCCTGCCGTCATGGCTGTTACCCCAAATACCCTCACAGATTCATGCTTCCATTCGATTTCAAGAGTGACGATATATGGATGCTTTCCACCTCTACCAACACCAATCGCCTAAGTATCAACACGCACATAAATCCCCTCGCCTTCAACCCACCAAAATGGCGCATACCGCCTTTTTCTACGGCACCTTGATGGCACCGCCCGTCCTCCACCGCGTAATTTGGGGCTCGCAAACCCCTCCTACACCAGCGCATGCCTCGCTCCTGCACATACGCCCGGCAATCCTCCACGCGCACCGACGACACAAAGTAAAGCAAGCAGACTACCCAGCCATCCTCCCCGTCGATACCTCCTCATCTGTTCGCGGAACACTTGTAGAGGGCCTTACGGACGGCGACATCTGGCGACTGGATATCTTCGAAGGCTCAGAATACGAGCGCCGGAAAGTAAGAGTCAAGGTCCTGCAACCGAAATATGACAACGCCAGTACGGAAGAAGGCATGGGCGACCTATCACAAAAGGAAGAAGACAACGTAGAAGGCGAAGAGGTCGAAGCGGAAACATACATCTGGACAGCGGGCGCGCATAGACTTGAGGCCGAGGAATGGGACTTTGCAGAGTTCGTTAGGGATAAGATGAAGCGGTGGGTGGGTAGAGAAGCAGCTGAGACCGATGAAGGGTTCCAGGGTAGGCCGTCAATCAACGGTAGACCTCCCGAGCGAGGGGGGCGTAGTTTCGAGGCTAACAAGATGCAGAAGTTGATGATGCAGTTGCAGCGCTCGATGACCCTACAGGCGGACGCGGCGCCAACGGAACTATTTCACGGCAGCTGAACGAAGGAGGTACGAAAGAGGATAAGATTCTCGAAAGTGCAGTATAAATGTTGCTTGTTCATATGGCTGTACTATCATCTCTGGCACACTGCCAGATGTGCATGCAGTCTACGACATGCTGTTCTCCGAGATCAGAGCTGAGCTTTGCAGACCCCGTCACACGCCCCGATAAATAACGCCTCCGTGAAACCAAGACAGGTATAGATGTGTTGAGTAAAAGTTCGAGCTGGCGCTCGCAGATCAACAAAGAACAAGCTTCATCTCGAGCAGTTAAAGAAGGGTAGGATTGTCCCTTGACCATCCAGTCTGGACGGTTGCACTCCCCTCCTCAGGTTCTGGTGTTTCTTGAACCACGGATCCGTCGTTGACTCCATCAAGTTGCAGATCGTGAGTGGACTGTGAGATCCCTTCCATTGGATCACATGCTTCCTCTCTACGCTCCATTGACCCATCCATGTTGCTGGGAACAGGTGCTTCTGAACGCCGGGCCTTATCTCTAGCATAGTCGTCTTCGTCCAGCTTTGTCTGGAGCGCACTATCAACGGGAGTACCTTCGTGTTGACCATGTTTAGACGTCTTTGTGCTGTACGACAAACGCGGATTCTCTTCAAACGTAGGTGAAGGACGGAGCCCTTCGCTGGAATGTGCATGACGTGATGCGGGTTTCCGCTGAGCAGTTGAAGCTGCCTGTACCTGCTGGCGATGGTTGGCGTTGATGACTTTGACTTCTTGTGAGTCCTTGATCTCAATGGGTACCTCAGGGACACTGCCTTCTCGGCTGCGCGAAGCGATTTGCTTACTTTCCATATGGCTATCTTGATGTCGTTGAGGCGACTTGATGAACTGGCGCTTTGCTGATGGCGATTTCATGTCGTCATTATCGTCACCGTGTCTTCGGCGTTTCCTGGGGCTTGATGTACCGGGTATCTGACATGTTTGATCGTTTTCTTTGGATTGACGTGGTGTTCTGTTCGAAGTGATCTGTCCGTTGCGCATGGAATCATGTGGTTGGGGCGTTCTGCTGGAAATGCGCACTTCGGGACTATGGCGCCTTGGTGTCGTTTCTGACCGTGGACTACCAACGGCCTGCTTTGCAGGAAATGTGAGCACAGGTGGTGAGTCAGACACCTTGCTGACAGCTGTTTGAGGTGCTTGCTCGACAGCAGAAGTATGCTTCGCATCGAAACTGAACGGCGATGCGAGTCTGAGTGGAGGATGAGAAAGTGAATGGGTTCGTGGTGATGTGGGCTGCGCGCCTGCGTTCTTGGGTGAGAGTGCGAGCTTCGGTTCTTCACTGGGTAACTCATCAGAGTTGTGTCTGCCCAGATCCGAGGCTTTGTACGTCGTCGGAGCTGGTGATGTCTTTGAGCTCGCAGACCCTTTCTTCGCCTTCTTCTGGGCTCTCCTCTCGTCTTCCTGCTTCTTATAGCAATCAAATATGATTTGACGCATTTTGTGCCTCATTTCGGATGGATGCAGCTCCGGCCAGTCTTCTTGAGCTGACATTGATCCAGTGAGCAGCTTGTTCTTGAAGTCATCGGGATTCTGGAAGAACTTCTCGATGTAGCCAAGTAGATAAACACCGCAATCGGTGAAGTTGTTCTGCATTGGAACCTGTGTACTCTTGGGGTAATAGCCGTTCTCTTTGATGACAGCCTCCATACCACGCCTGCTTGCCCCCTCCGCTGCTATCCAGTCTTTGAGAGCGCGAACCGCTCCAGTACGGGCATTACCACCAAGAGAATCGAGTACTATGATGACAGGCTGATCGGGATCTCTTTTGGCTATGGGCTTGCGTTTTGCCTTTTTTTTTGCAGAAGACGCGGTGGACTGGGATTGGGACAATATTCCTAGGTGTGTGTTCCTGGCTTCAGCTAAAGCTTCTGTATCTGGATTCTGGGATGTTGAATCTGCTTGGGTCGTCTCTGATTTATGTGGGGTTTCGGTTCCAGTATCGTCGCGGTCGACAAGAGAAAGTGCCGCCTCATCAAAAAGCATCGGCTCTTCCTCGTTCGTTTGGGCCGCTATTGCTTCTTCACTGATGGCAGTTGGCTCTGGGGAGGTTGACTTTTGTACCATAGTCGCATGCGTCTCGGGGTTCGTGGCTGTTACGGCTGAATCACTTGCTTGATCGTTTGGAATTGCCTTGGGCTCATCGAAGTCTTGAACTATCGGTTTGCGTTGAACCTTCGACATGTTGCAGATAATCGCCAGGTACCAATGGGCTCTGACGGACTGTTAGCATAGGCTATCAAAGCGGTGGTAATTTGGCGTACTGTTCGTTGATGGGAACAACAATGTAGTCGTAGCTGAAGATATCAATCTTAGACGTCCAGCGTTGCACAGCCTTGTAGTCCATGGATTTCCGACCCGAATTCTCGGTAAGCTTCGTGAAGAAGTAGGTGTTGAAGAAGTAGACTTTATCAGCAGACACTTTGAGCTGCTTGAAGAGGTAGCTGGAGAAGGTTAGCAGCGCTAATGGCAAGGTGGACACGCACTCACATCATGTAGAAGTCGATCAGGCTGTCGTTCAAGAATTCTTCCTCGTCCAGGCGGGGCAGATCATCAAAGTGCACTATCGCCCGTTGACGACCTTCGCCAAATTCAAGAGACCTTGGGATGGTTAGCAGAATCATGAGTAAGTGCTTGGAAACTTGCTTAGCCCAGGGTTGCCCAAGTCCAGTTTCAACTGAGAATTTGGGTACATCCGACTGTGTAGGCGTGTCTTCGACGTAATTAATCGGAGCCGATCTTGTTGAACGTGACGGACGGGTCGATGCTCTG